GCTGAGCCATGAAGCGCCTTGTAGTTACAACAAAAAGTTAGAACTGGAGAACAACTAATCCAAGAAGGCCAGTAGTAGAACATTTCTTCTAAGTCAAAATGATTTCCAATTTTGTAGCGGTTCTCATGAAAGTTATTTAAAGCAATCAATTGTCTGTTCCTAATGAGTTTGTTCCAGATGTTGGTTAACAGTAGGGATAAAATAAAACAGACGGATTAAAAAATAAATTTCTGACTCAGAGCTGATGGAAAAGTAAAAATTTAAAACTACTATTCTTAATTTTCTTTTGCAATTTATGTGAGCCCTATCAGAAAACGGAGGTAGCTATGTTTTAGACTGCATCTGAAGCGAGAACTGCTGATGTAAATTGCTGATTTACATGATGATCATTTATTAATTTGCATCTACCTTTAGTATTAAACCAAATTAGGGCTGCAAATAACAGTTATTTTGCAAATAGAATAATCTGGCGATTAATTTCCGAATAATCGATTAATAACCGGATAGCCACAGGTTCCTTAAAGAAGACTTTTTGCTAAATTAAACCAGGAGAAACTCAAACTTTTCCACTTACATATTGTCAGAAAAAAAGATTTTTATCTTAAATGCAAAATTTTTAAATATTTTTATACATATTTTTGTGTTTTAGATTCTCTAAGCTCCAGTTAACGACTAATCGATTACAAAGTTAGTTGACGATTATTTTAATAATCGGTTAATCCGATAAATTTTTTTCCGCCCTAATCTTCACTTGTAAGTATGTCAACTGAGTACATAACACATGTCACTAAATAGCTTACATGGCTAGCCATCAGAATCATTAATAAGTAGCAACTCCAACAGTTTTCTGTTCTGTTATGTAAAATAAATTCCACGTTTTACATTCAAATTAAATCCAATATTGTTTACCTTACATTAGAAGACCCTTGTAGCCAATTCCTGCAGGTCAGACACTTACTACTAATACATACTCCACAAAATCCAAGACATCCATAATCATGGTTTTCATGATAAATCAAATCATATTATATTCCTTATTTATGTATTTTTTGCCTAGAAACATGTTGATGTTAAGAAATTCAGCAAATACTTTTAGAAAATCCTTTTGAATTTCAACCATTCAGATTAAGCTTATAAAGTACATAATCAAGTGTTGGGCTTTATTGACTGTATAACTGAGGTGTTTTATTCTAATTTGAAGGATTTTAATCCTAGTCACACTTTTCTTATTAATGAGCTAATGGTGGAGGCTACATCCTGCCATCATTTTCCTCCACAATGACAGAGTAAAACTTTTACAGCCTGGTAAACAGAGCAATGACCTTTGGAACGGATGAAGTGTTTTGGTCTGTTTTTCCTTTCCGCAGTGACGATAGCGGATTCTGTCCTCCCGGGGCGAACTGAACGTTTCTGACCCGTAATCACTGCTCATCCATTTTTCACACCTCCCGTTCTCACTTCCACCTACCCTCATCCTCACCTACACTTCACAAGACCTGCAAGCACACACACACACACACACACACACACACACACACACACACACACACACACACACACACACACACACACTGTCAGCGTTGACATGGCAACCACAAGCTTTAGCCTGAGCAGCTTCAGGAGATGAAGCTTTAAAGTTCGGGCGGATAGGTGATACCAGATAAGTAGCAGTGGAGCGTAAAGCAGAGCTGGATCAGCCTGGGCTGTGTGAGCTCTGTAAGTGCTGGTGTGTGTCGCTGGCGGAGCGACAGGACTTGGACACAGGAATGCCAGACAGGATGCAGGAAGAAAATTCCAGAAACAGTTGAGTTTGTGCAACACATGCCCCGAGGTGGCTTTGCAAAACAGAGAGCAAGCTTAAAAGAGTCTCTAGAGTCCAATTTTACTACGATGTGCTCTGATGTCTCCAAGTTACTTTCCCAGCTTGGGAAATCTTCTTTAGTGCAAAGAAAATTCCCATTTGGGATTACTCCTCAGCAAGATTTACTCAGGTCATCCTTTTCTTTTTTTATATATTATTGATAAGCTGCTGGAATAAAAACGCAGCACTTGAAAATGACTTTCTATTGTTTTCCTGAAACCTGCTTCCCTTTTGGGTTACGTGCCAGACTCAAGAGAAGCGCCACAACTCCATTAGGCCATCTGTGGAGAGGATCGGGAATAAACACAAGAACAATTGTATGCGTATTCCGGGAACAAACAACATAACCCAGAGATGCTCAAGTGTGGAGCACAAACAAGCGTGGGCCGTTTCTATTTCCATGTAAGAAGGAGAGAGAGAAAAAAACATCTCTTAAATACCAGAAACATGAATCCAACATGGAAATGCCTGCATTGGAAACCCAAAGCTGTCATTATATAGCTGTTGGATGTAGAGCGGCTACTGCCTTTTTGTTCTGAAGGTTCATTCTATCAACACAAATGCAAGAAAATGACTTATTGGTCTTATGTTTGCTTTTTGTTAAGTTTAAAGTATATGAAAAGGGATATTTCTACAGTTAAACATAAAACAAGAGTCCCAGATTTATCATAAAAAATATTTTCAGGTTTGGTATGGAATTGGCTTTTGAGAAAACTCTTTTTAGTTTGCTGCTGCAGCAAACTGGAAACTGTTTGTGGTTCAATATGCAATAAAAGAAGCTATAGCAGGTTTTTTTCTGTGGTTTTCTGCCCTTCTTCCCATTATGAACTGAGGATGAGCGTTGGACACAGACAGAAACAGCCTCGGGGATAAACATCCAGGAAGGCTCAGCGAGGAGCCACAGCTGTCCTCGACTGGAGCCTCTGCTGGAGTGAAACACGACCAGACACACACACACATGGCAAGGGAAAATAAAGCAGATGGCAACAAGTGGCTGAGAAAGAAAAAAAAATGGCCTATAATATTTTGAAACAAAATCAAATGAAAGGGATTTATTACACAAAGATTTGAGAAACAGAATTCAATTATACCCCACTGTTTGTTGTGGGCAGTTTAGAAAATGAAAATCATTTGTTGTTGTTGACAGCATCTAAAGCAGGGACACACGTTTAAATTCTCCTCGACTTTCCTCTGCTGGTTTTGGCCTCAGTTATTTAACTTTATGAGTCATAATCCAAAATCTTTCTGTGTTTTCAGGAGATTTATCTTTAAGATGGACCAGGAGGAATAATTTAGCCACCCAGTGACACACTGTTTGGGGTCATCAAGAGCATTCTGCAAGGAGAAAATTATTTGGACCCTAAAACTATTTGTTATTTTGTTTTGTTTTTTTATTCCTTGGTCAATCAAAGTTGGCTAATGGTTCTAAAGTTAATTTATGATCAGTTTTTGTTTAATTATTTGCCATTTATCTTGATTTTTCTATTGTATTCATGTTATTCAAAATTTAAATAACATGCATAGCTAATGTCTGACCTGAAAAGGACAATATTTGAAAATCTTTTATTAAAATCTATTATTTTATTAAGTAATAGCTACCTAATAGTTAGAAAAGCATTGTTTGCAGATCTGTTAAACCATCTTGTTGACATTTTAGACACACCTCCTCAAAGGAAACTGAAGGAAACTGTTTCAGGTGAATTTGCCTCGTCTGTTCCTGTTTGGCTGTGACTCCATCCTGGAGAGAAATATCAGCTCTGCTGCTGCCATCAACACCCTTGTTTATAGATGCAGGACATCGGCCTGTTTTTCAGTGTAGTCCCGTTTCTCTGACCGTGACTGGCTGGGTGTGCTCTCTTCATCCTCTGACATGGGAGCTCACTCGGAGCTCGCCTGCCTGACTGTGTTTTTCCTGGACAGGACTGCCTTTTACAGCTGCGTTTTGTATCTCTGCTTCTGTCCCCTCGGCAGATGGCCGCTCACACTGAGCCTGGTTCTGCTGGAGGTTTCTTCCTGTTAAAAGGGAGTTTTTCCTCTCCACTGTCGCTACAAGCATGTTTAGTGTGGGGGATTGCATTCAAGTCAATGAGTCGATGCAATCAACTGGTTGTCCTTAGATAGAAAACTTTGAATCAATTTGACTGGATGATCTGGTTGAACTGTAAAGTGCCTTGAGATGACATGTGATGTAAATTGGCGCTATATAAATAAACTGAATTGAAATGAATTATGAAGCTCATTGAGAGAAAGATAATTGAGATAATAGATAATAGATAGCAGTAACTAATCAAACTAAAGCAGGGCTAAAAATAGGACATATTAACTTCATGTCTTCACTCTTTGTCTACAATATAAATGTCTAATAAAAATAAAGAAAGTGACTGAAAGGTAAAGGTGCATCCAAAGGTTAGTCTGGTAATGTCTGGGTGGGGTTCTGGGGGCCAAGAAGTATGGGGCCTCCAGTTTTAACAACAGCTGCCTCTGTCTCAAAGTAGTGTGTAACAGAGTGGCCCCTACTATGCAGAAGGGCCCTTCTAACCTTCACAGAGTAGCCTTTCTTTGAGGAGCCCCAACCTGACTGCTAATGAACACGCTGACCTGTCAGCTGTCATCACAGGTTGATAACAAGCAGGTCTTCATCAGAATCAATGGCGTAACGACACAACAACAGGCCTGTAAGCAACATAATCTGGGTGGGCCCCATATGAAGTACAACACCCCATCCATTGAACGTAACGGTTATGGTTTTAATCGACGCTCAGGATTACCCATAATTCCAAGCTGTAAAATACTCAAATAAATCGTTCTTTTAAGATCTTTATTGCAGTTTGAAACATATTATATGGGTGTATTTTGTTTTACTACCGTCTAATGAACTATACACAGTTATTAACATAGTAATTAAAAGTTTGCTATTGGGTGTCGTATTTAAACGGCTCACCATCACATTAAAATCTGCCGTGTGTTGGGGTATAAATTGCTCAAGCGATTTCATATCAGATGTGGTGAGGAGGAATTTTTTGCGCCCTAGGTTTACAATGGCGTAGGGGGGGGTCTACGTCTGCTGTGTTTGTACCAATATTAACGCCATTGATCAGAGGAACCAACAGGTGGTTGTTTGCTGCTGCCTTTAACTCACCTTTTCAGAGCTGACAATCAGCTTCTGCTCCACCTCTTCATGGACTTCTCCGTTCCTCTCTGGTAACACCGGGACCGGGGTGAGCTCCCTGGGTGTCTCCTCCTCCTCCTCCCTCTCTACCTCCTGCTCCACCACCTCTCCATTCTCCACCTCTGCCACCTCCACATCCCAGTTTTCGGTCCCCTCTGCCTCCGTGTCCTCCTTCACCACCTTCACCTCCTCAGTTTCCTTCTCCTCTTCTTCCCCCTCCTCCTCCTCCTCCTCCTCCTCCTCCAAAGGTAAGGGGAGCCCCTCGGTCACGTACTCCTTTAGACACTTCAGGTTGTGCTTCTTCAGCAGCTGCTCCGTGTCCGGGTCCACCACTATCAGCTCCAGCGGGCCCACGGTGGCTCTTATCCGGGACACCACCTGCTGGTGGCTCTCGCTCTCCACCTCAGCGCCGTTCACGAACACCAGTCTGTCTCCGGCTCGGAGCCCCGAGGACTCTGCCGGGCTGTCGGGCTCCACTAGGCGGATGAACTGACCCGTCTTGCCCTTCTCTCCGTGGAGGTGGAAGCCGTAGCCGTTGTCCCCCTTGTGCAGCGTGCAGAGCCGGGGGCGCAGATACTGGCTCTTGGTCGGCATGATGAGCTTCTCTCTCCTGCAACCTGTTGCTTCTTTTTCCAGTGAAAGTGACTGAGTTGGTTTTCGATTCAGCCCCCGTAACTGTTGATAAATCCGCTGGAAAGGGTCCCGATCAGTTTCACAGGAGTTGGTGCAAAGCTGCTGTTTGAAAGCTGACTGGCTCCAGTGGGGTCCTGACCCTGGTCTGCCAGATCACATCTGAGCCTGATTAAACCCACTCAGCTGGAAAAGGCGTTTCGGTGCTGCAGCAGAAGTGGGAAAACCACTCAGGAAGAGGGAGGTGCGTTCACGGAACAGCCCAGCTGCTGCTTTATGCAAAAGAGGAACGAGTTGGATGAGAGAAAAGCTACGAACCGAGGCTATCCAGGAACAGAGGCGGCTTTGCATGAACGGCGCACTGGGCGAGCCCCTCCTTAGATAATAAATATATGTAATATTTCTAAATATATATGTGTCATATAGCGTAATATACATAACATCTATCTATCTATCTATCTATCTATCTATCTATCTATCTATCTATCTATCTATCTATCTATCTATCTATCTATCTATCTATCTATACTTTCTAATGGGGCTGAAACAATAATCATATAAATCATGATCAATTGATTATTGAAATAATTGTTAACTGGAGTCTAGAGACTGTAAAATATGCCTTTTGCTGACAGAGCAACCCACTATGCTGTCGTTATATCAAAATGTTAAAACTTTTTTTGCATTGAAGATTAAAAAAATAAATGTTTCTTTCTGTCAATATGCTCTACCCAGAACTCCTGAAGTGGAAAAGTTTTAGTTTCACCTTGTTTACTTTTGTAAAAAATCTTCTTGAAGGAACCTTTTGCTATCCAACTATTAATCATTAATTTATATAAAAAATAATCAACAGATGAATCGATTTGCTAAATAATTGTTAGTTGTGGCAATACTTTCCAATATCCTGTTAAATAAAGTTTCCCATGTTTCATACAAAGGATTAATTGATCAAATGTTTATAGATTAATCTCTAAGTGGATTATAGTCCTGGATTATTGACAGTGTAACCAACTCAGAACAAACTAAACTAGAACTGTAGAAAATAGTTCGCATTTAAAGTAAAAACCTTTTCCTTTATAAATATGCTCTAAACAGAACTCAAGTGGAAATTCTGTGAAAGTAATATCTGCTATAAAGCACCTGTTGCTATTCGATTATTTAAGAAAAGAAATATTGATAGATTAATCTCTCAGGGAAATAAGCGTTAGTTGTTTCCCTAATCTACTAAAACACACTTTTTACTGTGTGTCAAAACGCCTAAACACTCAAAACAGTTCAGTAATCCTTCAAAAATGTCCAATAATATTAGATCAATGTTTTGGCATCATGGCCAAAAATCTCTAAGGAGAAAAATAATTACTTGTTAAATGTGTGATATTCTTACAAAAAAAAAAAAAAAGAAAAGTAGTTTCATTTTTTATTCTTTTAATAGCTCAGCAAAAAAATCAATTATTCAAAGCCTTGAATTGACATTCACCTATAGGCAGTTTGGACCATGACCAGCAGAACGTGATCCTGGATACAAATAAGGGAGGCTGGGCATTCCCTTAGAGATGGGGTGAGGAGCCGCTTCTCCTCCACACTGAGAGAGGCCAGATTATCTTTTTAGGATGCCCCCTTTCAGGCAGGTTTCACCGGGAGGAGGCCCAGGGGACGACCCTGGCCTGGGAGTGCCTCGGGCTCCCCCCAGCAGAGCTGGAGTAGGTAGCTGGGGAAAGGAGTTTCTGCTGAGACCGCTGCCCTGTTACCCAATGCCAGACAAGCAGAAGAGGAAAAGTACAAAAAAAAAAATCTAACAAAAAAACATTTTATTCAAAAGAATAAAGCTCTTTTTTGGGGGAGGGGGGAGGTTGGGCTTTTTTGTTTCTATATGATTGTAGATTCAAAACAGAAAACAAAAGGTCACATTTGCGTTCTCTTAAGAAAACAAAAACTTATGAAAATGTCTCCTGTACTCAGAAAACATAGATTAGTTCATTGAATGGTTAGGCTTAAATCTGCCTGACTTGTGCATGTTGGAGTTTTTTTATTGTGAAAATAAGGACAAAAAAACCCCAAAGCAAACTGGAAGCTTAAAGCACTTCAAACTGATTCTGCGTTCTTTTACAGCAAAGAACAAAACGATGATTTCTTTTTCTCTAACATCTGCATTCTTTTATTTTAATTTTATTTAGCCTCTATTTAACCAGGTTAGTCCCACTGAGATCTGTTTGCAGTGTGACTCATGCTATAGATGGATTGTAGGAGGGGGGGCAAGCTTGGTACAGGTGTAACACAGCACACAAGGAATGACATCATGACTCCAAAAGACAGACAGTTGCACACTCACTGCAGTTCACACCATTATTAAATGGATGACTATAATCATTTTGATCACTATCAATCATAGAATGAATGCTTTATTTGGTCTCCAGTAGTAAGTGTTTGTGCTTGTATGCAGAGGACACTATATGGAGCTGCTGCCACACTGTGGCTCATTAACCTCAGCACACCCCGTCATCCAGGATGAGCTCCAACATACACACTCTCTCACACACACATAAACAGGCACAGACGAGACCGACTTCAATAAGGCAACACCACATACATTACAAAATATACTTTTTTATATCGTTGGTATGACAACAAAGCACTTTAATGGCACTTTGTGATCACTGTGACACCTCCAAGGAGGGAGAGACAACCAAACATTCAGAATGAACAGTGTACAAAGTAATACACAATGCGGTGCATTAACAAATACTGCTTGGCACAGTCTCGACTACAACATCCATCATTAGAGGAGACGACAATGCTAAGGGCTGTGGAGATCTGTGCGTGAGTAAAAATATGTTTTTTTCCTGTCTGGGTGGACGTGAGGTAAAACTACAGCAGCAGTTAGATGTTTGCATACTCTCATACATCCAGGACGTAATCGTCTCACTAAACCAGATTTTTTTTTAAAGATTTCTATGAATTTTTCTTTTCCCAGAGATAATTGCGCAACATAAAACTTTAACGATTTTTTAAAAAGAAGCTTGGATTTCCTGGAATCCACATATGGCTAAAATTCTATGAATGAAATATATACATACACCAGCAAAATCCTTTTTATAAAAGTTTTTTTTAGCAAGTTGCAAAGGAAACTTCATTTTTGCAGCAATGATCGAGGCCCTGGCATAATTGGGGGGGATATCTGAACATGCTTTGAAGAAATTGATTTAGTCGGTAAATTTACCATAGATCAGTCATTCCATTAGTTTAATTAATGTCTGTTAATCCTTTGTAATCCCAGATTAGACATGGGTTTGAGATTATTATCCTTCTGCAATAAAGTTCTATCTAAATGTCAACCAACTGATCAAAACGTTCCCCTTCAGATAAGAAGGAAATATGTTATGGTCAACACAAGGGATACAGAGAGATGAAGCTGCCAGTGGTATGGGTGTGTTGTAACAAGTGGACTGAATAACGCTCACCTCACCATGGATTTAGAGGGCATCAACCAGCCAACAAACACCTTCAAGTTCAACAGAAAGTTTCATCTGCCAAAATGGGCAACCTGAATAGCTTTATGGTTCAGGTTAGACGTTTAACTGCAACCTCACAACAGAATAGATAAAATAGTTTGTTTCCTTGGATTAGTCTGATGTCTTTGGATAGAGACGAAGTGACGTCCACACTTTGGTGGGAGTCAAAAGCTTACAATGCTTGCTATTATTTCCTGGCTTATAATGTAATCCCAAAATGCATAAGCCTGGCAATAATTTGTTCATTAATCACAGTCCTCATGTGTGATAGGTTCTTGTGATAGCATGCAACAGTGCCCAGACAATTTGTTGAAATATTCAAACTGAACGTGAACCATGCATAATGAAGGACGGGCTCACCCAGTGCGCCTTCATGCAATGAAACTAAAGGGTAAGGAGTGGGAATGGAGGAGCCAAGCATTAACTCCAAAGCATGTTGGGGGCAGGATAATACTGAGGGACTATTCTGCTTCTAGTGGTATGAGTTTATCACACAAAAGGTAGGGAACATTTACAAAGAACTGGCTCTAAATTATTCAACTATACTTCAAAATCAACAGCTAGATCAAAGAATCTCAACAGACTGCAGGACAATAATCCCATGATCACATTAAAGACAAAAGCTCAAACCTGGCGACATTTTTACATCTTATATCACTAAATCAGAAACTTTTCATGGCTAGAAAAAATGTGTGGTTCCTTTGCAACTTGCTTAAGGGTAATCAATGGATAAACTCAACATGCTCTACATCTGAATCTGTTCCTCTGTAGCGAAAGAACATCAGAGATGCAGAACAGTTGAATTGTGCAAACGTATCAAAAGTATTGACGCCATCTGTGTCATCATTCTCATCAAGTTTAATGTGGAATAGCTAGCCCACCCCATAAAGAGCAGTTATGATTAAAAGCCTAAATTAATACATCATAAACGGTGAGAGTACGTAAACTTCTAGCTGGATCTGTACATCTACTGGCTCTGGATATGAATGTACAGACAGACACGAGGTTGGTAATTGCCCTTAAAATATTGGCTTTATTCTATCTAACAGCAGTACAGATGTGAACAGACGGGGCAATTTAGCTACAATCTGACTGTGAGCTCTGGTTTGAAGATGATAAGTGTAAGGCCAGGAGGAGGGGTTTCAGGTCTCAGCCTGATAAATCTGGAATGAAGCAAACTCTGATGGCTAAATCAATGCTATGTCCACGTCAACAGTCGCTTCCATAAGAACCTGCCGTTTGGTCAGAGGGGGAGAGGGATCCCTGCAGACGGGAATAGCGTTTCAGATTGTTACTCCTGATTTCTGTTACAACTGTCACCACAAAGATCACGAACGTTTCTACACATGACACGAACTATTTAAATTCACATTTCAGCAAAGGGATGGCAGTAAGTCCAGATTCGCTTTCACTCGCCATGATCTCTGCGCAGAAGTCGAGAACATCTGCCTCTCTCAGGGTGGGGGTATGGTTTCTTGGATTGGCTTTTCATAAGAAAGAGCAGACATTTTTCTTTATTCTTTTACGTCGACTTTAATCCCCCCTCCTTCATTCTGCGTCCTGCGTTCTTCTCTCTGCTTGGCGTTCATCATCTGCTACCCGAGGCTGCAGCAGCCAGACCTGTGCTTCTGAGACTCGATGTAGTCGTGAATCTTGAACTTGGGCTCATTTGGCTGCTGCGTCGCTCTGTGCTTCAGCTCCCTGACAGAAAACAGAAGAGGGGAAGAGAGAGAGAGGGAGGCAG